CAACAGCATCGTAATGCTGCATTGATAGATTGGCGTTGTGGATGCTAAAATTAACGTCATCTGCTCGCGTGCTCCATTGCTCTCAGTTCTTCTCGCTCTCACTTTGATGCTATTCTCGGCCGTCTGAGGGCTAATTATACTCTCCGGCAAATGTGATTATGTTTGCGTTGTTGCTGCTCCTGCTGCGACGACGACTACTACTACTACTACTTTTTCACTATCACTGCCACTGCATATCTCCACACATGCTAAGCATACCTGTGCGGCAGCCGCCTGCTGCTGTCAGGTAAATTTTGTGTGTTTGCGATCAGAGAAAAAGCGAAAGCAAAAGCGAAAGAGGTAGTCTCCTCAGTCAACAACAGGTTGTGGTGCAAAACAAACAAACCTCTCTCTCTCTCTTTCTCTTTCATTTAGAAAGCACACCACGTGCACGAACCTCAATGACGCTGAATTAAAAAGAGAAAGAGAAAAGAACTCAGGTGAGAGCACCGAGAAAATCGGGGAAATCAGTGGAATCGGTGCTTCGATTGACGTGAACACCAAGCACCGGTGGTGGAATTGACCGCTAACAACAGCATTACAATAAAAATCAGGCGTTTCTTGTTTTGTTTTTCTAAATACATTGATGACTGAAAAAACATCATTTTGTCACCATCGACTGTACATCTTCCAAAAGAAAGTTTGCTTAATCTTGATCAAGCTTACACCTTTTGCACTGTGCTCCCTTCCTTTTTAGGTGTCTCGGTCTGGTGGTGTCCAGTGAGCACTGCTTCTCCTGCTGTTGGTGATCAATTGTCCATTGCTAATTAATAATAATTACCCAGTGTGACGAGCTCGTGCTTGCTGCTGCTCTTGCTGCTGCCTCCTCTTCCACCACCTCCTCTTTACCTGTTTCCATCACCATCAGTTAATCTCAATGAATCGATCAACGAGCACAGGAGAAGGAGAAAGAGGGGCGCCTGCTTCTTGGCGTGCTCCTCTGCTGTACAGCATTTCCAACACAACCGAGCACAGTCTCCTACCTGTTCAGATTGCTCTGATGCAGTCACACACAGACTCGCACACTTTCTCTTTAAAGAGGGATGAATCCGTGAACTTGTCCTTGCGAGGCTGTGCTCAGCCGATGTCGCATGTTGTTTTCTTTCTCTCACTACCTGGTGGTGGTGTTTTCTTTCGCTTGTCGATGTCTCTCTCTCTCTCTCTTCTTTTGTACAGTGCTGTACAGCAGTTCTGTTTCCACTTCCACCTTGTATCTCACAGAGCTCTTGTAGCATCAGCTGAGGGGTGCTTTCTGAAGCCAACCTGTGCCAACAGCAGTTTCTCTAGGAAAGAAGTGTGCTTGCTCTAGCGGTGTGATATTGCGACCGTGGCTGACCGGCAACCACTGTTTCACTGTCACTACCATTTGATGCAGTACTGGTGGTGATGATGTCGCAGACGCGTGCACTACTTTGAGGTTCATTTCCACGTAGCGCGCTCTCTCACTCATGCAGACGATATACTTCTTTCTCTGGGTAAAAAGAAGAAAAACAGTGTGTCGTTTAATGTGAGTGTGAATGGAAGTCTTTTGCGCTATAGCTTCTATCACCACTGATCAGCAAGTGCCACCGGCGTGGCGGCAGAGTGAGCAATGGGAGACAGCCTGAAAACTCCATTGCTCATCTTCACTTGACAGTGATAGAAGCTTTCCCCCTCCTCTTCCTCTCCTCTCTTCATCATCATCATCATTTCTCACACACTCACTATTTTGTTTTATAAAACTTTTATTTTGCATTTAAAATCAGCAGAAGTAAAAACAAAACACAACACACTTTCGGTGTTTATGTGTTTTCTCAGAAAGCATCTCTCTCTCTTTTGTGCGTTCGGCGAGCTCATCCTCATCATCTGAACTGTCGTTTTGGCTGTAGACGTCTCCAGCTTCTTCATCATCATCTGATGCAACCAACTTTCCTTGTCACAATCTTCTTTTGCATACTGAATAATTTATCAACCGAGTCTGAGCAGACTGTACCACCAGTAGTAGTTGACTGAGGAGTTGACAAGTAAAGTGATCTTGATAAGAGAGCAGAAAACACAGAAAGCACGCAAACACGCACACTCGCCGCATCTTGGCCAATCGACACTGCCGATAATGAACGATAATGTACAAGTAATCTACAACTCTATCTTAAGCTAGGTGATATTACTGCCACAGCCACTGCCACTAGCACACTAACTCAAGTGATGCTTTTTCCCTCGACCTCTAAATTAACGACTGCTGCACATGAGCAGCATGGCGCATACCCTGAGGAAGTACTGAAAGTGCTGCTCAGCAAAAGCAGGAGGGTTTTCATTTGGCGATTGCCATCAGCTGATGATTATCAGAGTGCGCCAAGTATGTCTTGTTCGGTGTCTGCTCTTTTGGGGCAGTGCAAGAGGTGCATTTGATAGAATGTATAAAGATGTTTGGCGGTTACTGTGCGGTAACCCGGCTGTTCTTCTTTTTCTTGCACAGTTCTTACGGTGGCAGTAATTAGTGTGCAATTGAATCGATTACATTTCCACCATCACCATCAGCGGCTGCAACTCCTTTGATACAGAGAGCTAGTTGCGCCAAGTAGCCACTTGTCTTTGTGCTTTCTTTCTCTGGCTGGCTCTCAACCTAGTGTCGTCTTCACTTCACTTTCTTTCCTGTTCATCCTCCTCCAATCGACACACAGGCACAGCATGATACAGGCTCATCAGCTAGTTATTGTATCTCACTTTTTTTGCTTTGCCACTGACACAGCTGCTTAAGAGTAGTATGCTCATTTTCCTCCTCTGTATCGACATTACTACCACTACTGCCTGGTTCATAAGTGTGTGCAAGTGTGTATGCGCGTGTTGTTTCTTTTTCTTGCTTGAAAGAAATTGACAACAACACAGTTCTTTGCTGTGNCTGCCTGGTTCATAAGTGTGTGCAAGTGTGTATGCGCGTGTTGTTTATTTTTCTTGCTTGAAAGAAATTGACAACAACACAGTTCTTTACTGTGAACGGCAACTCGTGTGCTTAACAGTTATTGGAGAATTTTTAATTAACTTCAAACACCCGACAAAATGTACTCATCATCAGACAGCCTGTGCAGACTGCTTGGCGACAAACAACAAGAAGAGGAAGATGAAGATCTGAACAACAACAAAAACAGTTGGACAGCATGCATTGCCAATAAAGCTGCCTATCAGGTGTTATCAGAGGAGGATAATCAGCATGGCACTTTATATATCATATAAAAGTTTAATTAAATTGAGCCTGAACTGTTTAATTAAGTGATGAAAAGCGCACCTATTTAAGCAGTAGACTGTACAGTGTTGATTTCATTCAAATCTATTTTTTCATTACCAGTGCACATCTCTCTCTTGCCGCTACTTTCCACCGACACTTTTTAATCAATGTCTTTTTTTATGGTTCTCATTGTTTTTGCCAATGTGAACATTTTTCTATGTGACAACTTGCTAAACCATAAAAAGTGGCTCTCTGCATTGCCAATTGCTATTGTACTCTCATCAACAAGTGTTCGTTGTTGCTGAAAACGTTGTGGCTTACTGCGTGTCCAATAACCTGTTGACAGTCACTTTATTAATTTTTTTTGTTCTTCAATTCTAAATTAATTCAAGCCTATTCTGCCGTTGCACTCTGCATGACTCTGTAAATATACGCTAAAGTACCCGAGAATACTGCTTCTTTTTCATCAATCACCTTTAGAATAGGAAAAAACTTTTTGCACTGCAAACAACAAAAAACTTTTTTTTCTGAATCAGTGCAGCAATTAGTTCGAGTGAGCACAAAGTGAACACACTAGTTCAGTGGCCGAAAAAAGCAGCCAAACCCATGGCGGCTAAAGGCAGCGAGACTAGCGACAACAAAAAGTGTTCATCATCTCAACCAGAGACATTGGAGCTCAATTCACTCATTCGGAGCATTCTCTCTCTCTCTTTTCCGCCATTGTCCTTCACTATTACCACTTCTTTGTTCCTGTAAAAAGCGCCTTTTTGTAGTGTGTTTGTAGTGATGGGTTTGAGAGATGGGGAAAAGAAGTGAGTGTGTTCGGTGAAGAAAGTGAAGAAGTGCACACAGAGAGAAGAGCAAATGTGCCTCCGTTGACTTTGTCTTGAGATGACGACCGCACGCCGATGTCACAGTCGGTCGATTTTCCCCAGAGACTTTAGACACTTTAGCTTTTCTTATTGCACGCTCACACCCACTCACACTGTCTTTGCCAGCAACCAAAAAAATAGTTGAATCATCTCGAGATTGGCTAACTTTTTGTCATTTCCATCTAATAACTTTATTAGAGATGCATCCCCCACATACCTTTTTCCATTTTTACATCCATCTCAACTTTATTCTAACCTCTTTTTGTTTTTTCTTCTTTTTATTCTACAGAAACTTATTTCCGTTTTCTGAAAATGTCNAAAAAAAATAGTTGAATCATCTCGAGATTGGCCAACTTTTTGTCATTTCCATCTAATAACTTTATTAGAAATGCATTCCCCACATACCTTTTCTCATTTTTGCATCTATCTCAACTTTATTCTAACCGCTTTTTCTTTTTCTTCTTTTTATTCCACAGAAACTTATTTCCGTTTTCTGAAAATGTTCCATTGGCGGATTCATCATCAACGCAAAGCATCCTTTATCGAAACGCAAACAGACAATTATCATCACTGCTGTGAACACTTGACGCAGTATCCAGCCCACTGAAAACTCATCGTTAATTTTTTGTTTCAACTATCTGATAGTTTTAAACTCCTTTTTACTCTTCAAATATCTTTGACTGAATTCTTCTTCTTACCGTTAAACTTCTGCACCAATTTTTTCCCCCAATCAGTGCGTGGTACCACTGCAGCATTTTTCAGTGCCTCTCACTGCTTTTTGTTTCATCGACACACACATCTTTGAATATTCGAATCCCTCATTTAAATCACTCAACTTTCTGAGCACAAATTTCCCCTGAGCGCCGCTACCGTCGAATTCAATCAAAATGGGAAGAAAAAAGATTCAAATATCGCGCATCACTGACGAACGTAACCGACAGGTAAGTGGTAACACACACAATTGACACTATTTGCTGCCGCCCCCTCCTCCTTCTCCTCCCGTTCTTCTCTGTCAAGTGAAGCCTAACTGATTTGAGATGGTAGAATGATAGTGTACCTTCTCTCACTATTTTCAAAATGTGCGCACAGGGTGGCCAAAATTGCTGGGCAGCTCAACCAGTGTTTAAGCCAGTCGACAAACTGTCACCGGTTGTTGCTGTTGTTGGTGCCTTACTGCTGCTCATTTCGAAACGCTAAGAAAGAGAGGAAGCTGAAGTAGCACCGACGCGGCGACAAGTGCTCCCGCAAAATGGCCACCTCACGACCGTCATTGTCCTTCGTCTTTCTTTCTATCTTTCTGTCTGCGCCTCAGTCTGCAACTGTGTGTCCCATTGTGATGTCGACAAATAAGTGGGGGCAGAAAGAGAGATGCCAGGCACTCTTTTCTCTCGACGACACTTTGGAATATAAAGTGTGCAGCGACTACTGTTTGTCGGCAGTCACTCTCAGCAGCAGCAGCAGCCATATCACATTGCTTTGATATCACTTTGTGATTGATTGAACTTGTTTTAATTGCCCCAGTGAATTGTCGAATATTACTGCTCCTCTGCTGGTCTGCCACTTTCAATGACTTGCGGAAAAAAAAGGCTGCACCAGCAGTAGCAGTAGTCCGCCGAGAATCACCCACTCAGTGTGACCGGTAAATCACGCAGCCGTTTTGCAGCACCTAGTGAATCATACCACTTTGGCAAAATTTGTGAGATAGGGAGAGAGAAAGAGCATTTTAGATAGTTCACACTTCATTTCCCGGTGACTTGCATCTTAGGGGGAAGGGGCAGGGAGGAAAGAAGTCGACGACGATGGTACAATCTTAGATGATTTGGGTAAAAATTTAGCAGCAGAACTCTGATCGCTCAATTTAGCTCATTTACCTAAAATCAATAAATAGTTCGACTGCAATTTTCGCCTTTAACCAATGTTGGGTTACTCTAAAATTAGTCACCGAGAGAGAAAGTATAGGATTTTCTATTGAAAATGGTTGCGCTTTTTTCAGAGCACCGTTTTTGGCTTTTTCTTCGCTTCGCTTTATTGTCGATGACAATGAACGAGGAGAGTTTTCTTGATGGCGAGGATAATGATGGCCAAGGCAAGAGTGAAGAGGGACAACAACAAAACAAAGCAGCCATTTTGAGAGGTAGCGGTTAGATGCCTTTTTCTACTTCTTCTTCCTTCCTTCTCTTACCACGGGCACATTCTAACCGCACCCTGCCAGAGAGAGAGAGAGAGCATGCTTTGAACTTGACATTCAAATGACAACAACAACAGCGCTAAAAGGCCTCTGATTTGGCCAACCTTGAATGAATGAATGAATGTTCAGCTAAATCTGTACTAAACTACTTTGCTTCTCNGCCTCTGATTTGGCCAACCTTGAATGAATGAATGAATGTTCAGCTAAATCTGTACTATACTAATACTACTTTACCTACTCACCAGGTTACCTTCACCAAGCGCAAGTTTGGCCTAATGAAGAAGGCTTACGAGCTCTCGGTCCTTTGCGACTGCGAGATTGCGCTGATCATCTTCAACAGTACCAACAAGCTGTTTCAGTATGCCAGCACCGACATGGATAAGGTGCTGCTCAAGTACACCGAGTACAATGAACCACATGAAAGTCGTACCAACAGTGACATTGTCGAGGTAAAAAGCCTTAGCTTTAGCAAAGTTTGGAAAACCCCTCATGCCGCTTTTTCCTTATCCTCACAGGCTTTGAACAAGAAAGAGCACAAAGGCTCCTCAAATGGCTGCGACTCACCGGAGCCCGATGACTCGCAGTACACGCTGACGCCGTCTCGAAACGAGAGCAAGTACAACAAACAACTAAATGATGAATTTGAGCTGATGATGCAGCGCAACGCTGCCACCCATATCAACGGCAATAGAGTGAGTCACATCATAGTTTACCATTGATTTCAAAAACTAATTATCTTCCTTTCAACAGTCCACTCCCACTGGCCTGAACTCTTCAGTTGGCAGTTCGTTATCGCAGATTCCGGTGACGTTATCTCAACTGCAGAACAGTGTCTCCAATGCATCGTCGCCGTACGCGCCACAAGATTCTAGTCTGCTGCAAACCACGCAACTCTCACCTCACTCCTCCTGTGTCAGTCCGAGGCCAAGCTCTTCAGGTACTGTCGGATTGTGCTGTTGCCCAAATATGCTACAAAATTTATAAACTTACCATTTATCTTTTCAGGGGCAATGATTGACATGTCGAGCACGGCAACCAACGGCTACCGCTCCTGCTCTCCCTCCACCCTGTCCGGCAGCAGTTCCCCATCGAACTTGATCATCTCAACGGGAGGTAGCAGTGGTGGCAGTGGGGGAGGCGGTGGCTCCAACAATAACAACAACAACAACAAGCAGCCCAACGCCTCCAAGTCGTCCACTGCGAACGGCGGCGGTGGCAACCGAGGAATGCGAGTTGTAATGCCAAATTCACATGCTAATTTGGTGAGTGATCTAGATCGAATAGAACAAATAACCTTTAACTAATGACCGTCATTATCATTTTGCCATTATATCAGAATCATCGATCAATCAACGGCACTGCGCAGAACCTGACATCGCTCAGCTCCATACAGGGCATGGCTGCGTATCCCTCCTCCTTAGGCTCCTTCGGTACAAGTAAGTGTTTGGCAAAAAGAGAGTGTGACATTATTCTAAATGCTAACTACCTAATTACTCAATCATCAGACGACTTTCAAAATCTAAACTCGGAACTGGCACTAGCAGGCTTCAACTCATCAGGTCTCCTGCCGAACTGGTCGACGCATTCAGCGCTGAGCGGAGGACTGGGGCATGGGTAAGTGAGACTGAAAAAAAGTTAGCCATTTTTAAGCAAAAACTAACTAACACAGCTTTGCCAACAGAGGATCAGGCCTGCCACATCTGTCAGTGAGCAGCAGCACACCGCCGCCCTCGTCCACCTCGCCGCTCTCAATGAAGATCAAGAGTGAGCCCATTTCGCCGCAGCGGGAGGGCGGCGGCGCCAACGGCACCGGTCCCGCTCAGCCGACCCACGCCTCACTGGCCACCCTACAGCGGCCACCTTCAAATCACAATCCGGGCCACCTGTCGCCCGGCCACCCGCTGACGCCCTCCACTTCCAGCTCACCCGATCCGTCGGGCAGCTCCGACTATGAGGGCCCCATACAGAAGCGAATCAGAGTGGCAGCAGACGGTTGGCCGGCCTAGTGAGCTGAGGGCTGCTGGTGATGAAGTGCACTGATGATGATGACGATGAGGAAAACGGCGGAGAATAAATGAAACAGAACCGATGTTGAATGTTGGCGGTTGTGGTGTCTAAAGAGCACAGCCCCATTCTATGAATCAACTGTGGCATCTCATCATTTTACTACTACAACAGAAATACAGCAGGCAAACCCTGGGCAAAGGCACCGGATTTTTTTCTGGCAAATCACACAAACAAACAAAAATCACTACCAGCACATCACCCAAAAAATAATGACATGCACCAGATTTGTTGTGCAGAAGAAACGAACCGAATCCACTCTCATTTTTCTCTTTCCCCCTCTCTCTCTCTCTCTCTCTCTCTTCTCCTGATGTTGGTGGCCACCCAAACTCACTCAGCCCACAGCCCCACCACCACCTCCTCCTCCCAGTCATCCTCCTCTCGACCTTCAACCGTACCTTTGACCTTTGACATGCCTTTCTTCGTTGTGGTCGGCACAGCACCTGCCCGACTGCACATACACGCCCATATGACGCTTCGACATCTCGTGATTCGACACCCAAACACACACACACCTTTTTCTCCCTTCCTCCCCTTTTCTTTTTCTCTTTTCTCTCAAATCATTATCACCGTTTTTTTCGCCTAGTGCCAGCAGACTGTGCCGATGTTCTCTCTCTCTCTC